TCATCTTTGATTTATGTTTGTTATAGTTTGTTTTCATTAAGGTTGGTCTTCACATGGGGCTATTCATGTCCTGTTGACCATACCTTCAACAACATTATGTAGTGGTTTAATCTAATTTATGTATGGTTGTGAAGTTAATAAATAAAAATAAATAAATAAAGATATTGCACAATTCATCAAATATACAACCATTAGGGAAAGTACATTTATTATGCCGAGGGGGGGGGGATGAAGATGTTAAGGGGGGGCTCCGAAATATTTTCTGGCATTAAAGGGGGGGCTCTGAAAGTTCTTGATATACTGAAGGGGGGGCTCTAAACTTTTCAAAGGTTTGACCCCAGCAAATTAAAGTTAAAATTTTTACATCAGTTTCAGGTAAAATTTGCGTAATAAAGTAATTATTTTTGTGAAATGATAACCATTTTTGTAAAATACAGTCAATTTACATGCAATTTGTTTGCGAAATTTGCTTTAGAAAACGCCAGAAATTCAGTCCTAGAGCTTCGAAAATGTAAAAATTTTCTGGGGGAGGACCCCCAGACCCCCCTTTTCTCCCAAAACTTAGTATAAGAGTGCCAATCAATCACAAAAAGCTTTATTATAATTATTACACGTATAATCCTCTGACATCCCCCCCCCCACCCCAAATGTCAGATGCTTTGCTACGTCCCTGATGGTTGTATTCGAAACCGATTTCAGTTTTAAGATATCCTTAGTCTGCTCTTCTAAATGGATACATGAAATCACCTATAGCTTATTTAAAATTTTTTTGCGCCAGGTTTGTGAAGTAATTTACGCGCCAAAAAGCAAAAAAGCATATACAATTTGCAAGAATGATATGTTCTATGTTTATGGGATATTTCGTACAAACGGGATGGAAATTAAAGAAATTGAAGCATACTGGCACTTTTGCATGCATTTTTGACAGGCATGCAAAGACATTTGCAACAGATGCCGGGAGATACGTTGGGTGGGGGCAACATACTGTAAGGTTCCAGCACATTACCCTGATCCAGGAAATCCTGGCCACTACATGAACGTGTTCAAGACTCCGAATACGCTGAATGATGGACAACAACAACCTGTTGATAATTCCACCCCTAGAGCCAATTTAAAATGTTTTAAAGACGGTGCCATTTCATCTGGCGCTAGTGAGATGAAAGAAGCAGCAGATCGGTAGTTTTGTTGAGGAGAAGCACTTGAGTATATCAGACATCTTGAGGAACTGCAAATTGTATCTATGATAAGAGAGAATTCCGGATTGTACTCCTTCGATTCCGAATTCTAGAGGGGGGGGCATTGAAAATTTTAAAAACTTGGAGGGGGGGACATCGAAATTTACCGATAACCTCAACAGGGGCCCTGTAAAAATATGAGCTTTTTTCAAGACATCTTCATCCCCCTCCCTCGGTGTAATAAATGTACTTTCCCTGAATGAATTCATCCAAAATGCAAAAAATAACTACATATCGTTTTGGAAGCAACAAATTGAAAACTCCACAAAATTATCATTCTACGGTTCATTCAAACAACAATACAAATTAGAAGAATATCTTAACATTATTAATGAAACCAGTCAAAGAAGAATATTTTCGAAATTTCGTATTAGTATAACCCCAAACTAGAAATTGAGTTCGGCCAATACAGAACTGTACGCCAAGAAGAAAGAATTTGCAAAAACTGCAATAGTTCGAAAGTAGAAGATGAATTTCACTTCTTAATTGAATGCAAAAAATACGAAGATTTACGAAACGACTCACAGAACATTCTAAAACAATATTTTCAAATGGACATACAGGGTGCGATAATTCAATATTTTTAGCCGTACCTGACTGGTACTCCGACAACTTTTGCTGCGTACCTGATCTGGTACAAACTTAAGAGTCAAGACGTACCTAAGACTACTTCCGAGTCATGCGTTTTTATACCTACGTATAGTTTACTGGTCCTAAAGCAAAAAAAATGTATGGGCAATTTTGTACAAAATAAAATGAATCTTTAACTATGGTATTTGTACAACATAATATAACAGTTTTCAAAGTGTCAACGTTGTGACTCGAATGCCATCGCTCATTTACAGTGGATTTACCGAGGGTGCTAACAGTCCGACCTGTGCTTCCGGTTTCATATCGCAAAGGGTAGGTAGGTCGGAAATAAAAAAAAAATGAATATTTTTTTCATGGTTTTGGCAGTTTTTTGCTGGGCGATTTTCGGTAGATTCCCGACATCAATATTAACTAAAGATGCGTAGTTCCTACGAACGAATTTAGGCAATTTGGTTCAATAATTATTGTGACAACAGACGCTATTTTGGCATGCTGTACGAGCAGCCCCCAACTACCCGGAGAAAGTAGGGTCGTATGGTCAACCGTGTTGAAAAAATAATAGGGTGGGCAGAAAAAAATAGGGTCGGTCGGGAAACCGGAACCACAGGCATTTTTCTAGACCTTGGTATATCATTGACAATTAAGCCCAGGTCACCCCACACAACGATAACGATACGATAACTTGTAAACACGCGATGATTGGCAAACAAATTATGTTGGTGTCCACACTACAACGAAAACGATAAAATTATCGGCGTTTGACGATAACGATTTTAAAATCGCTCACCCGAGCGATTTTTTTTTCAGTCGGACGATGACGATAAATTTTTTGATCAAGCGCAAAGATAACCTTTTGGCTTTTTTTCATCCCAAAATATGTCGGATGCGTGGAATTTACATGTACAGCTAAAGTTCTTCACGGTTTTGAATACCTTGGAAAGTTTGCTAGTTATTGCTAGAAGGAAAATGTAAGTACGAGAACAGCAAATTTCCGCGTACCTATGTGGTACTTGCCTAAAAACAAAGAAGTACCAGACCATAAATTTGGCGTACCTCCGGTACGTTGGTACGCAAATTATCGCACCCTGGACATATCAAATGACTCAAAGAAAAAATTACTAAATAAAATTATGTCATTGAATGATCCAGTGATAATCAACATACTTTCAAGTCACATTTCCAAATGTTTCCATGTCAGAGACAAAAGCCCCTAAAATGTATTCTTTTACTCAATCCTTTTTTTGTTTTACCCTTTTTAAAAAACTTAAGCTACAGTCAGCCTAGACCTAGGCCTTCTATTTTTATTTATATTTTTTTAATATTCAGCGCTTTTTCACATGAAAAGACTGGGACTAGGTAATTTGGGGGCGGGGCGGAGGAAGGACACAAGCCTGACGCAAGCGAAAATATAGAAGGCCTAGTAGATTTCCCAACAACAAGGCCAAAACTGCCCTGAAACTGCCCTGATTGCGAAATGCCCAATTGTTGCGTTCTCAAACAGAATTATTTGCAACTTAACAGCGAATTTAAACCGATACAGGTAAAATAAACTCATTTATAGTATAAACTTACTATTTTTATTTGTATACACGTCTAGAAAATCGGGTTTTTTATCATAAAGTTTGAAACAACACTATTTATATATGTTGACAAGGTGTTGCGAAACGGCACAAAATAATAATTCTTTTATTCGCAAGACAATCTACTGTTTTGCTTTGAATAACTATATTTGCGAATTGGGAATGAGGAATTTGAAATTAGTGTTCAAATATTACAGATATACCATTTGTATAAACAATGTACGTTTTTATATACAGTACTGTACGGGCTAATAATATATGTATCCGTTTTATTTTGTATATTTTACAAACACAAGACTGCTTCTTGCCAAAATTGAGAAAATATATATTAATGTACTTGTGTACAAGACAAAATTTCATGAAAGATTCTACTTTTGGTATATATTTTGACTCATTTTGTTCTTTCGCTACACCTTGTCAACATATTAAATAATAGTGTTGCTTCGAACTTTATGATAAAAAAACGATTTTCTAGACGTGTATACAAATAAAAATAGTAAGTTTATACTATAAATGAGTTTATTTTACCTGTATCGGTTTAAACTCGCCGTTAAGTTGCAAATAATTCTGTTTGAGAACGCAATAATTGGGCATTTCGCAACCAGGGCAGTTTCAGGGCAGTTTTGGCCTTGTTGTTGGGAAATCAACTAGGCCTTCTAGGCTTGGTTCCTCCGCCCCGCCCCCAAATCACCTAGTCCCAGTCTTTTCATGTGAAAAACCGCTGAATACTAAAAAATATAAATAAGACTAGAAGGCCTAGGTCTAGGCTGAGCTACAGTATATAATTGTCTAAATAAGTTGTTATTTGCCATTAATTGTTATATATTCTAGTTATTCTCATGCTTAGCAATACCTGTAAATAGGTCATGCAAATAAAGCTTTATAATAATAATAAGGAGAAACTGTTCCTCTAAAAGCTTATGTAAAAATTATTTTGAGGCTTTTTATTACCACAGAATTATACTGACTACAATATCGAGAAAAACACAAGAAACATCCTCAGACAATTGGGCACCTTGCTTCAACTATGGACAGTCGAAACTTAATAATTTTTGCTTGTTTCTCTTGTTATTTATACAAAATATAAGACGTAAATAATTTTAAACTAGTTTGTCGATTTGTAGATAAAAATATGCTGTTAAACTCTCCAAGACTAAGCTTTCTGCTTCAAAATCTTGTTTCAATTGATCAATCCACGCACATCAATTAAAATAAACTATAAACACTTGTACCCTTGCTAGATTCAAGGCTACATATACTTGCTATAAACAGTCAATTACTTATATTTGTTTAAGTGTCAAACTTCGGTCATATGTATAGGGCCATTCCTAGTGGGATAATTGGCGGTGTATATTCATATAATCGTCTTCTGCCCGATGGATTTTTTTGAAAGTGATTATTTTAATGGTAGCGAACATGAATATATGAATATACACCCCCGTGTTGTGTTTCGTATTTAGTTTCTTAGGATTGCCATATAATATGAACAATTACAAAGAATAAGTTTACAAACAATATTGGGCCTTTCGCCATGTTTTCATATAAGCCTGCATAATGTTATCTTGTGTCCTTATATTTATGCTACATGACGTAACTATATATCACTACATCTGCTGTTGTCAGGATTGTTGGTGGTTGTGCTTGATTGTGGCATAGATGGTATTTCCCGCAAGTGGATTCGGCTGCGCCTCAATTCTCCCGTTGGTGTGTCGACTTGATAAGATCTTGGCGTATTGAAAATCTTTTCTTTTATAGTTGCTAGACTCCATTTGCCAGTCGACGGATTTTGGACACTGACAGATTGTCCTGACTGTAGAGCAGGAAGAGGTTTCACGTGTTGATCATGATATTGTTTTTGCTTTTCCTGCCTTTGCTCTAATCTGGTTATAATGTCATCACTGTTGTGATTCCTGGTAATTTTCCGCGGTAAATTGTCTTGAAGTTTGCTTTTCATGAGCAGTTCTGCTGGTGATGGTAGCGCATTGTCTATCGGTGTGGAGCGCAAGCAATGGAGAACAATGTTCGGGTCAGTTTTGGTCTTCTTAGCTTTAGCTATACAACTTTTCCTGTCTTCACTTGACTTTCAATGTACCCATTGCTTCGGGGATAATGGGATGAACTTGTTAGTATCTGGAACCCGTATTCATTAGCAAATTTGCGATAGTCCTTGCTGGAATAATGTGGACCGTTATCAGAACGACCTGCTGTTGCTTTGCCCTTTTGGAATTTTCCTCACAAATTGGTACTTGGAGTAATAATCGGAAACAAGCAAATATTCTGTGTTATCAACAGATCAGTGGCAATTGTATGCCAAGGGCGAGGTGGTATCTCTGTTGGGATGAGTGGTTGTTGGATTTGTGTTGGTTGATATTCTGTCGATATCTTCGTTCATTTTTCGCCAAAAGACGGATGTTCTGGCACGAAGTTTTGTTTTCTCTGCACCTTGGTGCGCTGCATGAAGTTTTCCAACAATTTCAACTTGAAGGGTTGATGGTATGATGATTCTTTTCCCTTTCATGAGTATTCCATTTTCAATACTAATTTCGTCTCTGTAGCACCAATACGGTTTGAGAACTTGTGGAACTTCTTTAATTGATGTTGGCCAGCCTTCGTGCACAATCGTTTTCAGCATCATCAGCTCCTGATCAGAAGATGTTGCTAGTTTCTCGATCTTCTTGACCATTTCGCTGCTAAACTGTGGGCAAACTTCGTGAATTTCCATGTTCATATCTTTCACTGGGTTCTTTTTTCTTCGGGGGATAATCGTGACAGAGCATCTGCTAGTAGCATGTCTTTCCCTGGAATATATTTGATAGTTAGGTCGTAGGGTTGTAACCGGAGTAGCATATGTTGCAGTCAGGGTGGCGCAGACGCGAGGTATTTCAGGTGGGTACTCTCGAGCGGTTTATAAGGTGATGTGATATTCCCCTTGGAATTTGCCAATCGCATTGAAACAATTTGGGTATTGTGCAATCAGGTGTGATTTATTATCTATGCATGAGCTTGGTTTAAGCTTTGCCGTGTCCTTAGTAGGCAAGGTCTCTTGTACTTGTGATTTCTCTATTGAACAGTTCAACGTAATCAAGTGAAGATCTAGTAATCCAATAATTGTAATGTACAGTTGGTAATCCAATAATTGCTCTACTGTGTACATCAGTCACATAGAATGTAGCACTTGTGTTGTTGTTCTTGTAGGAGCACTTTATTTCGCATGTACCAAATTGTGGAATTGGAGTACCCCCGTATGCTGTAAGGGTGGCTGTGGACTTTTTAACTGCACTTATCTTGGGTTTACCATCATAACTGATATTCTCTGGGAACATGCTACGGTATAATCTTAGTGGTAGGATGTTTGCTTGAGCACCTGTGTCAACTTTAGCTCTCAATTGTGTGTTATGGGTATTATTTGGCAGTTCGATGTCGATCATGACTAGTGCTTCATCTTTAGTTTGGCTGTTTGAGTCAGATGTAATACTGTCAACTGTGATTGTGTCAAAAACTAGTGTATCGAATTCATCACTTGACTCATTGTTTACATTCAAATCGTGGATCTGCCTGTTACTGTTTCGACCTTGACCTTGGCTGTATCTAGTTTGTTTGCCCTCATTGTGATTTTGGCTTCCTGGTCTAGCTTGGTGGTGGGGTGTTTTATTTATTTTCTTGCGACACATGTTTGCCCAATGGTTTGGCTTTGAGCAAAAGTTACAGCTTGTCCCGTAGGCTGGGCATTTTCTAGCTTCATGCTCAGTTCCGCAGTTCTGGCATTTTTGTTTAGGCTTTGCAAATTTTGATAGTGCATGTACAGATTTCTGGATTTCACTTGTTTTATTTAATTGAGCAACATGGGTATGGTAGCTTCATATGTTCTGGCATAATGTATTGCTTCGTCTAAGCTCAGATTTTCATCTTTTTCGAGTATTTTTTCTTGTGCTTTTTTATGTCTTGTTCCAATTACGAATTGTTCGGTTAATCTTTCGTTCGTTTTCTGTTGATCTTGAAATTTACATTTTGCTGCCTGGTTTCTGCATCTAGTCATAAAATCATCAATGTTTTCGTTTGGTTCTTGTCTCAATTGTTGTAATTGAAATCGTGCTAGCGTATAGTTAGTCCTTGGCGCGAGGTGTTTCTCATATTTTTCCCATATGGCTTTGGGATTCACTTTGTCCTGTTCGTTCTCCCATACAAAGCTATTGTAAATATCGACTCCCTGTCGCCCAATCCATAGTAATATGTAAGATGCATTTTCCTTTTCTGTTTTCTTTAGAAATGGCCCATCAAATACAAGGTTGCAATACTGCTTAAAAGAATTAAACTCGTCTGGAATGTCTGAAGCATTCCAGTTCGTTGTTGGTGGGGTAAACCCAGTGGCCATGTCTCCTTACGTTTCTTTAATATCGTTCGAATACTTGCAAGTAAATATCTGTTCGTATTGTACGAAATATTTTGACTTACCAAGCCCGATTCGCGTTTCTTTTCCTTGTGGACTGTTGATCAGATCCCACCCTTTGACACCATGTTGTGTTTCGTATTTAGTTTCTTAGGATTGCCATATAATATGAACGATTACAAAGAATAAGTTTACAAACAATATTGGGCCTTTCGCCATGTTTTCATATAAGCCTGCATAATGTTATCACATGTTCTTGTGTCCTTATATTTATGCTACATGACGTAACTATATATCACTACACCCCCCTTATCGCATCTAGGAACAGCCCTGTAAAGGGAAATAGCATGAATATAGAAATTAGATTCCCTTATCTGAAAGAACTTTTAAAATTATGTGGAAAACATTTTAAAGCTTTTTTAAAATCTCGCTTATTTCTTGACCTTAAGAAAAGCTTCTGTTGTGATGGAGCTAAACTGTGGAACTCATTACCTAAATGCAATTGATGCTTATAATTTGAGTTTGTGTAACAAGGCTCATTCGTCGAGGTCGAGGGTCGAAAATAGTAAATTTTTATCCATTTTGAAAGCTTCCAAACATGGCAAAATAACTAGTTTTGCCCTCAAAACTGAAAAATTTCGCCCATGGCTATAATCTGTGTATACTGAAAGTTTCGCTTGTGAAACTAAAAGTCTGATGCGAGGTTTGATGTTTGAAAGTATACATATTTTATTATACATTGGAATTTAAGATATATAAACATGGGCAATGATCAGAGGCGATGATAATATAATAAAATGCAGTAATATCTTCGAATCACCACTGTTTTTACAGTAATTTTACACCCTCTCGAAAAGCAAAAAGGCACCTAATTATGTCCAAACTCCTAAGGCATTGTTCTGTACTAACATTAATAAAGTTATTTATCAGGCAGTGTTGTAGGGAGCTCTTTTTTATTGGGGGCTAAAAGCGAGGAAATGCCATTTCCTTGACTTTGGGGAAGATTCAACAGAATTCTGATGGTCAGAAAACAGCATTTTAGTATGTCGAAATTTACAATTTAGTAGTTCTAAATGGGCAAAGGCATATTTAATTAACTATATGTTGGATAAGTTGCAGGAAAGTATGGGTAATATCTTCATTTTTTGCGGTTTGTCAAGGATAATGCAACTGCTTTAAAATTAATCAATTGTCAGTGTTTTAAAGGTATATTATTTAAATGATAAAGGTCTGCACGATTTTGAAAAAAGAATGATTATTAGCAAATTAGTTTCTTAAAAGAGCAAGTCGCTTTTATACATGCAGTTATTGTGCTTATAACAAAGTAAATTCAGCACATGTTCTATACATCAGGTTTGATATTACTTTATAATTTATGTGTATCAGTAATTTTGCTCGGATGATAAATGGTGATATGAAAACCAATGGATCAAATACTGTGGCTGTTTTCTTCAGGACGTTCCTCTTTGTAATTTCAACGGACTTGATGGTGAGGAATAAACAAAGAAAAACATTACATCTTTTGTTGACCAGAGGACTCCCAAAATCTTCGTTGTTGGAAGTCGATCATTTTCTGGGATGTCTTCAATAACTTCAGGTTGACTGGATATCCGCTTGCAAATATGAAAGCCTACTTTGTCTCCTAACATCATTAATTCTTTTCTCATATTTTTTGCTGTTTCCACAACTATTACTGAAGGCATTAAGAGGGAATCTCCACTATCATCACGCAACAGGTGGCACATGATGAAAAATGGAATGTTTTCTTATTTTGTCCAATGATACACTAATGTATACTCAGAAACGTGATGGGGTTTGTTTTCTGAAATATTATTTTAAACGCCGAAAAATTATGAAAAATCGTGAAATTAGCTAAAAACATGGTGAGTCATAGCCTCTCGAAAACTTCGTTTTGCTTAGTTTGCGTCTTCAGGAAACCTCACTTTCGGTTTTTAAACGTGTATATAAGATGTTTATAAACAAGACTATCGTTGTAATCTTTTAAATGATGTTTCAAGGTCAAGGCAAGCGTGTAAAAATTGCCTTATTTTGCGATCCAAAAAATTCTAAATTGGTACACTTGAAAATTAATTTTCTGTATCCGGGAAAACTCCAATTTGCTTGAGAAATTGTTGAGAAATTGTTGTTCTAAAAGCTGATGTAAAAATTATTTTGGGGCTTTTTGTTACCGCGGAATTATACTCGCGGAATTATACTGACTGTAATATCGAGAAAATCACAAGAAAAACCTCAAGAAAAATCACAAGTTAAAAATTTTAATTTGGTACATTTTTTGAAAATCAATTTTCCCTTTCCGGTAAAACTCCGATTTCCTTCAAATTTGAACAAATGTATGAGCAAATGTTGCTCTCAAATCTGGTGTAAAAAATATTATGGGGTGTTTTGTTATCACGAAATTATAATGTCTATAATATACAGCCGATTACGTAGACAGACACTTATTTTAAATTATTTTGCTTGTTTATCGGGATTTTAGAGAAATAAATAGTGAATATGAACATCAATCAAACATAAATTATAAAGTAATATCAAACCTGATGTATAGAACATGCGCTGAATTTACTTTGTTATAAGCACAATAACTGCATGGAAGCGACTTGCTCTTTTAAGAAACTGATTTGCTAATAATCATTCTTTTTTCAAAGTCATGCAGACCTTTATTTATCATTTAAATAATATACCCTTAAAATACTAACAATTGATTAATTTTAAGCAGCTACATTATCCATGACAAACTGCAAAAAAAAGAAGATATTACCCCATACTTTCCTGCAACTTATCCAACATATCAGACATGTAAACACGATGTCATACCCTATAGGGAGTATCGTTAAGTTGAAGTTCTGAGCAATTTCAGAACTCTGTCGCCACCATGCCAAGTTCCAAGTCCACGGTCCCGCTTCCCGGGATTTAATAAAGTGTGACGTGACGTATTTGAGCAATTTAAATTAGTCGAACTCAGTTCATGACCTAACAAAATTGCTTGTTACAAATTGTATGAAATTCCATGTCTTAAACAAAAAAACAAATGATGTTGAATGCTACCAATCTTCTTCTACTACATAATTTCTAGCGCATTCCTAATTTCGTTTAAAAAATATTTAAAGTTATCTAACTTTTGTTTAAGGCCGAAACACATATTTCAATTGCTCGATCAAAATACATCATAAGCGGGACCATATAAACAGCCTCTTATAATCAAATTTCTCATGAGAGCAAAACGCAAATTTTGTATCATCGCCTCTGATCATCGCCCATGTTTGTATATTTTAAATTCCAGTGTATATTAAAATACGTATACTTTCAAACATCAAACCTCGCATCAGACTTTTAGTTCCTCAAGCGAAACTTTCAGTATACATAGATTATAACCATAGGTGAAATTTTTCAGTTTTGAGAATTAGCTTTCAATATGGTTGTAAAACTTTTAAAATGAATAAAATTTACCGTTTTCGACCTTCGACCTCAACGTACGACCCTCGACAATTACACAAACTCAAATTATAAGCGTTTAATAATTGCATGCATTTAAGTAATGAGTTCTACAGTTTAGCTCCATCACAACAGAAGCTTTTCTTAAGGTCGAGAAATAAGCGAGATTTAAAAAAAGCTTTAAAATGTTTTCCACGTCATTTTAAAAGTTCTTTCAGATAAGGGAATCTAATTTCTATATTCATGCTATTTTCCTTTACAGGGCCGTTCCTAGACGCGATAATGGGGGGGGGATATTCATATATTCATGCTCGCTACTGTAAAAACAATCGCTTTCAAAAGAAATCCGTCGGGCATAAGACGAATATATGAATATACATGACCCCCAATTATCGCGCTAGGAGCGGCCCTGTCCCTTTAATTAAACGACTGAACTTGCCCGGCCTCAATGAACATATGGCCGAAGTTTGACGCTTAAACTGAACTGCTTAGAGCATAACATGCTCAAATACAAGTAATTGACTGTTTATAGTAAGTATATATAGCTTTGAATCTAGCGAGTGTGCAAGTGTTTCTAGTTTATTTTAATTGGCGCGCATGGATTGATCAATTGAAACAAGATTTTCAGAAGCAGAAATCTTAGTCTTGGAGAGTTCAACAGCATATTTTTACCTAGAAATAGGCAAACTAGTTTAAAATTATCTACGTCTTATATTTCCTATAATGACAAGAGAAAACAAACAAAAATTAAGTTTCGACTGTCTATAGTTGAAGCAAGGTGCCCAATTGTCTGAGGATTTTTAAGGTTTTTCTTGTGATTTTCTCAATATTATAGTCCGTATAATTCCGCGGTAACAAAAAGCCCCAAAATAATTTTTACATCCGCTTTTAGAGCAACAGTTTCTCTTTGAATTCCCTAAATTTCAAGGAAATTTGAGTTTTCCTGGATACGAAAAATTAATTTTGAAAAAGTGTAACAATTTAGAATTTTTTGGATCGCAAAAAAAGGAGATTTTTACACACTTGTCTTGTCTTGCAAATTGGACCCACGTTCTTTATAAACATCTTATAAACACGTTTAAAAAAGAAAGGTGAGGTTTCATGACACACCAATTGAAAAAACGAAATTTTCTAGAGACCGTGGCTCAACAATTTTTTGGCTAATTTCCTGAATCTCGGGTATGTGTGAGGTTTTGATCATTTTCAGCGTTTAAAATAATATTTCAGAAAACAAACCCCTCCATGTTTCTGAGTACACATTAGAGTATCACTGGAAAAAAATACGATTTTTTATTTTTCCTCATGTGCCACGTATTCTCGATTTTGCTCGGTTTTAGTGGAGATTGTCTCTTAAATCGTCCATGTAGCAGTTCTTCCCCACCGCTTAAGCGGCCAAGGGGTATTCGTTCTTGTGTTGTTCATGTGACTCTGCCAAACGTTTTGCACACAAAATGGACAAAACCCCGCCAAAAGCAAATTGTAGAAACTCGTAGACTTTCTGATCTTTTCTTTACATCGAGGTCATGCCAAAGAAATCTATGAAATGGTCAGTCTTCTTCTCTTAACTTCAGCTGGTGGTACATTTGAGTAATGGAAACAATTCTTTTCTGAATTTCACCAAGATATCCACCAGATTGGCTTATAGTTTTGGACCAAGTAACGCTTCAGAATTTAAACTCTTTCCTTTAACTTGGGCAGAAGTGTCAAACACTACTCGTACTTTGGTTGTGGACCGTTCTGGATGAATTACAGGAAAATGAGGAATTCATTTTCAGGTTTCAGTTGATCTTCGGGAACACAGCAAATGTATCCTCTCTGTAAATACTCATCGATAACTTGTTGGTATGCAACTTTTACTTCTGGAATTTTATTTAGTTTCTACTTGGTCGAAATTAGTAGTTGTTCTATAATTTTTGCCATCAAACTCTAAGGAATCTTTCACTTTTTTCATTGCCAACGTTTCATCTGGAGTTCTTGTGACTGGTTCTTCTGATGGATTCCCATCGTTTCCAGATCCAAAAATTTCTTCACCAAGCCGTTGACATTGTCAGGTTGGTTTTCGAGAAGAGTTGTTTTGATGTCAGCACATGCGTGAAACGTGCAATGGAATCATGTGTTTCTGTCTCGTTTTCCTTCGTCTGAACTCCGAACTGATTGCTCCAATGGCTGTCCGTCCCAAGGGACACAATCTTGCACAGGGTTCACTTTTTTTACCAAGAACTTATTCTTTGGAATCTTTCACTTTTTTCATTGCCAACGTTTTGTCTGGAGTTCTTGTGAGTGGTTGTTCTGACGTTGGCAGGATTCCCATCGTTTCCAGATCCCAAAATTTCTTCACTAAGCCGTTGACATTGTCAGGTTGGTTTTCGAGAAGAAGTGTTTTGACGTCAGCACATACGCGAAACGTGCAATGGAATAATGTGTTTCTGTGTCGTTTTCCGTCGTCCGAACTGAGCGCTCCAACGGCTGTCCGTCCCAAGGGACAAAATCTTGCACAGGGTTCACGTTCTTTACCAAGAACTTATTCTTTGGAAAACATTAAGTGGTAATGATCAGTAACAAGTAACATGTCAACAACACCTTGCAAACCGAGTTTTGGGAAGGGTATTTTTCGTAAATGGTTCCACTGATTTTGGATTTTTATCCAGTTTACATGTTTCATTCCACTGCAGATTCTTTCTGATGTTTTTGTCACAATTTTTGTGTTGATGTTTCCATCTGTACTGTTGAGTCCAATTTCAAATTCGATTTAAATTTGAATTTGAAATTTAGAACTCTTTCTTTCCTTGAACTTGGGCAGAAGTGTCAAAAACTACTTGTACTTTGGTTGTGGACCATTGTGGATCAATTGCAGAAAAATGAGGAAGTAGCCATTCATTTTCAGGTTTCGGTTTGTCTTCGGCAACATGGCAAATGTATCCTTTCTGTAAATACTTGTTGATAACTTGTTGGTATGCAACTTTTACTCGAATCCAATTCCAAATTTGAGTTCAATTTCACTGAATTGAAACTGACTTGCTGACCATCATTTGTAAATACTCTTTGTAAATGATACTTTCTGTAAATACTTGTCGATAACTTGTTGGCATGCAACTTTTACTCGAGTCCAATTTCATTGAATTGAAACTGACTTGCTGACCATTCGCAACATTTACATTGATTTTCTCTTTTCCCAATTCTTTGACAACATCTTCGTTTACGTACATAGTGTCACTACCTTCATCCAGAAAACAGTTGACTAAAATCTGTTTATCACCATGTTTAAGGACAATTGGTATTGTTCTTAGCACTATTCTTTTGGGCTCATCTTCGTGAAACGTTTCGTGTGTTGGCCTCTCGACTTTTCTGCATCATCGGCCATCCAATTCTTTAGTGTTTCCAACGACTCTTGTTGGCAGTTTTCTTTCAGCCGTCAGTGATACAGCGAAAGCAATTTCTGGGGTACCTTCTCCAATATCGTGTAGGGCATCCCAGCTTCTAAATCTGACTGACAACTATTTTCTTTTAAATTAATAACTGCTCTTTCCAGTATGTCAGCAAATTTTTCCAGTTCTTTGAGATCATCCTCTTTCAGTGGTTTCTTCTGTTTTAACTCATCTACAGTGGCAAAAACTAGTTTATTACTTCAAAATATAATTTTAAGACATGTTTGCCCCCTTCCCCGAATATCAATGTTTTGCCAAGTTATCTGGCTTTGAATACACCCATCAACATTGATATTAGGGGAAGGGGGGGGGGGGGTGAAATTCCATGAATTTTCTGATTTTTTAACCTTTTGCCAATAATTTATGTCCAGGATTCAATCCTGGACCAAAAAGTGGCAAAAATAGGTACGCACTGCGTACAGATAGTTCAACCTCGCAAGCCGGGGGTCTTTATACCTCTGCAAGTGTGGAGGTATTAAGACTCTGGCTTGCAAGGTTGAGGATATTTAAGCAAACTGATAGAACAACACAAGCAGATACAGGATTATTTATAGTTTTTGCAATACCTACAATACAAATACTAGATTTTTAATGTAAAAGTTGATAGCCATGGTACAATAGTAAGTTAGAATTGTCACACAATGTGATTAAGCTAATGGGGAAAAGTTCTTGACTTCATTGCATTCATAAATTTCACTGTCAAAATTGCACTGTAGAATAATATAACAGAGGCTCCTTAGTCAAGAGCATGTCTAAAAGTTTAGTCATTCATTGTTGAGAATTGCTGTGAGTTTCCTGTCACAATAAACATCCTATAAAGTCTGGTAAAATATCATTGCCCTTGGTAAAATTGCTGGTGTCACATTTTGGATTTTTAGCTCCCTATACTCGATTTTCTGCATTTCAGCATGATTTTCCCTCATTTTCATACAAAAAAGGACTTTCACTGGGGGGGGGGGCAAACTGCTTCAGTCGGGGGTCAACATAGGGGCTGGGGGTGGCTTCAGCCCCTCCAGTATATATATTAAAAAAGGCCCTGTTAAAGTGTAAACAAGAGCCTCATCTGATTTTATGATCAAGTACAAATTGTCACCAGCAAGGAAATTGTTTTGGCTCATATTGAATCACTAAAGCCCCGTTCACACGAGCAAATTTTATTTGACAAATTTCATATGTCAAAGATTTGTGCTTGTTTGGACAGCTGCCAAATTTTCTTTAACATTTCGTTTCCTTTCATATTTTTGATCAGCGGTTTCGCGCTGATGCGGATGCGCGTTAAGCTGGTTTCTCATTTCCAATTTTCCATATTGAATACAATACTTTAAGAAAGTTTATCTCCATTTTTACTGTTTACTACAGTAAAATAAAGCCAAGTATGGCTCGATACAGCAAGAAGAAACGTTTATATTGTGGTCTAGCGATTTTTACTTTGATGGGAGGAGTACATTTGCGAAGACAAAGGCGAAAACGTCGGTGGTGGGTGCGACCTTGGGCCACCCAAGAAAGGAGAGAGGCACAAGGTTTTGGACGCAATTTGATCCCTGAATTAAGAAACACCGATGCTGGAAGTTTTAGAAATTTTTTGCGGTTAGTATGCTGTTCATTCCGTAATTCAATATTCTTGGATTCATGATATTGGTATCAACTTTGAAGATGAGTGTCTCTGAGTTGATTGTTTGCTATATCTATTGTCATTTGATCTGTGTTTAGTAGCAAATACATGCAATTTAGCACCATTTGCTCACTCCTGTATTGCTTAAGGCTCAATCCATTTCAATTCAAGTTTACCCTCCTTTTAATCACTTGGTATAATAATCATAGTGTCAAGTGAACACACTAATAGCCCCATCCCACCCCTATTGAAGGAGCTGTATATCCAATGGAGAGGAGGGGTTCTTGAACTTAATTTTGCTAGGGAAAGCTTTAGAGCTTTTCAGGGAAAAGTTGGCACAAATTAGTTGTTTTTGTTTAATTAAAAACCTAGTTGTTAGTTTATCTGCATGAATGCTAGTCTCTTATCTCAATGAATGCTAGTCTCTTATCTTAGGAACTATGTTACTTAAAATTGTTTTTATCTTTTTCAGGATGGAACCATCGTTGTTTGACGAATTGCTTAATATGGTACATAAATTTGTTGTAAAGAAAAACACAAACATGAGAGATGCTATTTCAGCACATGACAGATTATGTGTTACCTTGCGGTTTCTAGCATCTGGTGCATCATATAAGGACTTGTCATATTCATTCCGAATGTCAACTTCAGTTATTTCTACTATTGTGCCTGTTGTATGCAAAGCTATTTATGATGTATTGAAAGAGGATTTTTTAAAGTCTCCAACAACATCTGTTGAATGGAAACAGCTAGCACAGGAATTTGCAGATAAGTGGCAATTTCCGCATGCTGTCGGAGCAATCGATGGGAAGCACATTAATATTAAGGCGCCTCCAAACACTGGTTCTGAATACTTTAATTATAAAAAGCACAACAGTGTTGTTTTACTTGCCATTGCTGATGCGAATGCAAAGATTATATCGTTTGACCTTGGGGCACCAGGAAGCATGTCTGATGGAGGGATTTTTAAACATGGTTTTCTTGAAAATATCTGCAAGTCTGATGTATTCCCAACACCGTCAAAATTAGGCCAAAGACCAACTAATATCCCTTACTTTCTATTAGGAGATGAAGCTTTTGCATTGGATTTCAATTTAATGAAACCATATCCTCACAGGTCAGCATTAGGAGATGAGAAAGTGTTCAACTACCGACTGTCACGAGCACGGAGAATCATAGAAAATGCGTTCGGAATTCTTTGTGCCAGGTTTAGGGTCTTACTGCGAACATTAGAGCTGGATGTTCAAAATGTAATAGAGGTTGTTCGTGCCTGCATAGCCCTTCATAATTTTCTGATGATAAAGAAAGACAGAAACTATGCTCCAGCTGGTTATTTAGATAGTGAAGATGAACATGGGCATCTAGTGTTAGGTGCATGGAGAACGGAAATTGATAGTGCTGCCCACAACTTAAGTTGCCATCCAAGCAACAGATCATCTACTGTACAGGCAAGAGATATACGTGATGATGTGAAGGATTACTTCTTTGAAGAAGGAGCTGTCACATTCCAGTGGAAAATGACTGAATAAACATAAATGACTTGACTTGTTAACATCTTTTTGGTTAACCATTAATTCACATCATGTGCCAATGCACCTACACACATAAAAATTATGAGCCCACTGTTTAACAGGATTGAACAATGTTGTGCGGCCCACATTGTTCACACTTGTCAACAATATTGAACAATATTGTTGAGCCTGAATCGGGTGTAACAATAATTGACAACTGTGACAATGTAGGCCACACAACATTGTTCAATCCTGTTTTTATCAATATTGGAACAACCAGATCGTTTTTAGCTGTGTAGCTATCTCACTTGATCTGAAAAATAGAACTAGATAGTGAATATATGAAATCAATAGTGGCATATTAATGTTATAAATGTTATGCTGTTGTGATATTGGATGATGTTCCACACCTCGGCAAGTTTTTACTTTATTATTGATGGGAAAGTAGATAATTTATTTTGTCTAGTCAGTGAAGATAGACATTAGCTAGCAGTGACATCTGTTTCTATTAAAGTTAATTAACTAACAATGTCACATCACTCTGTCTCATCATCTATCAATGGCCTTTAATCCTTTAAATAGCAATGCATCCTACTTTGCCATTTTACTCTGTCTAACGCCAGACTATTTTACTCTGTCTAACGGCAGATTATTTTACTTGTCAGGGGGATAATGCTGTCACTCAATGTGTTAAATGAAAAAAAATGCTCTACCCAGTCCTAATTTCAGATCAGTGCCCCATCTTGGTGTTTAATAGTCTGTCTATTAAATGCCAAAGGATTTTAATTCTCAAGTGAAAAGTTAATTGGGTTAGAATTGTTGAGCTCAGTGATCCAAAGTGAGTTTTAGTGTTTACATTGCCATTACAGGGTGTAAAATTTGAGATTTACGAAAGCAGAAAATTGTAAGCATGCTGCAAAACTGTGGTATTTAAAACAATGTATAAAGGAATTTAGGTAGTAACTTCAAAAGTTCTGTGTTCATGGTGCTCCTACTACCTTCCAATTTGCTATGTGATTTTTACACCAGTACAAAAGACATTACAGCTCCATAGCCCTTATTTTTGTTACATATAATGTACATTATCAAATATAAGATGTTCTGTACATTTCTGCATTGCAGGGTCTTTATACTGTAGAAATACAGTACAAACTAAACACATAACATTAAACATCCTTATATGACATATTAGTTACTCCTACTTGTTAACATTCCTGAATCTTTATATACTGTAGAAATATAGTATAGTTTATAAGTATAAACTAAACATAACTATAAATATAAACTTGGTTATGTAAAACAGTCATTTACTCAATTACTCATACTTGAAAACAAAGGTTCTATCACTTGTGCATTACTAACTATGGGCACCTGGGAGACAGAAAAGGGGTGCCTTGCTTTTTCTGTAACTTGAAAAATAGCTGTTTGCACTGCAAACTTAGCACGCCTTTGCCAGTCTGGATTGTTAAGTGATCTGAGAGAATTAGCTACATCTTTCCCAAAAATATCCCATTCATCTAGCTCATCATCCTCTTGATTTGACAAATGGGTAAGTGCATTTGCCGCAGTCTCCATCCAATGATTGTCCTCTGAGCTTTTCTTTCTTCTTTTTGGGTGAGCACCTGCTGCCTCAGATGACGTTTCACTGCTTGTGCTCGCAGTCTCAGTTGCATGCAATTCTTTGTATAAAATATCATCCTCGTCATCTTCGTTGCCCATTAGCAGGCCTACTTGTAAGTTGGTGCATTGTGGTCGATTTGATGCTACAACGTCTTCAAGGAACATGCATTCATTAAAAAACTTCCACTTGGGGACATAGACATCTGCTGACCCAGAACCAGTATGTTCACTTTTTTTAACTTTCCGAACTTCTTCACGAAATGTTGTACGTAGTCCTTGAATCTTAGCTGCAACAGTGACCAAAGAAATATATGGAATGACAAATTTGAAAACAGATTAACCATATATGGCTTTACTAGTATAACTGTTACTAAGTGTTTTATGATGCATGTAGAAGCATGACAATTCTGACATTGTTTCCCAACATAATAGGATATTGGGAAGCACACAGAGTAGTAAGGGACCGGTCATTATTTATGGTGGGGAGTGGCACCAAAGATAAAATGGTTGGGTAAACAAAATTTTGAGTGAGTAAAAGGTTGGGTAAATGAAAAACAAAACAAAGCAAAACAACTCAAGGGTTGGGTAATAAAAATTTATTGTCATTTCCAAAGCATAACTCACTGAAATATTGGAGACTAAAAAGCAATGTCAACAGTCATACGTCAATACAATATGTGAATCAATCAGAGTCACTATCTTGATCATTTTCCGATTTGTTGGATGTGCAGACAATGTGAAACTTTAGACTGCAGAAAATTTTGCAATCCATTATCAAACTCATGTCACAGAAGTGGTAAGGAACTTGTGTGACAACTGAATGGTATCTTTTTGTAAAGTTTTTGACCAGAGGTGGGTATTTCTTTTTTAATTGATATTTGAGGTTGGGTAATCAAATATTTTACTTTTTAATGGTTGGGTCAGCATTATTTTTTGCCACGAAAAACATTTCTCTTCGGTGCCACCCTTCACCATAAATAATGACCAGTCCCTAAGTTTAAGAATGTAACTACATGCACAATGAGGGATAATATCTGATAAAGCATTTCATGCAAGTGAAGTTTTAAACCCCTACAGGCCCTACTCATGCACACAAGTTTAATCAGAATTAGCAATGGGATGGGCATGCCGTAAAAAGATCTTAGTACATTGATATATTTGAGTGAATTGTGTATGAACACCTTGAGGTTTCGCAAAACTGTCATTACCTCGTAAACTAGCTGCTAAATAGTTATAAACTACAGAAACAAAAATACTGACATGTACCTTTTACAGCTGGCAAATCGATATCAGGAATATCTTCGCTAAGAATCGCAACTATTTCCTCGTATTGTGTCTTTTTTACATTCCTGTCTCTATATTCTAATATTTTAGAGTTCCACAAACTCTCTCGAACTTTAAGTGCTTCAAGAAGTACAGAAATGCTTTTATCTGACCAGGAGATTGTACGTTTCACGCCCTGTACAGCTGCCATTTTGTTTCAAAAAATTTATCACATTTCCTGTACAGTCGTCCAGACGGTCAAATTTCACGATTTGACAAATTTTCTTTGACAAAAAAAAGCTGGCATGCTAGCTTTTGATCAAATGCATTTGTCACAATAAATTTGTCACAAATTCATCATCTACACGAGCAAAATATCTTTGACATATGAAATTTGTCAAATAAAATTTGCTCGTGTGAACGGGGCTTAAGTAATGTAGATCATAATATTTTCACCATTGGGTTCCACATTTCAATAGTATTGATCACCATATTAATACTGAATACCCAGTGTCATGGTATATTATGTGATTTATATTATCAGCATCGAAGTAGATGGGATTAAACCACCATCATCATCAATGCCTACAAAACATATTGCTTAAAACTGAAAAAATAATGAGGTTTGCAAGAGGTATGCACAGATGGTATATATCCTAGCTAGTGTTTATAATAGTTGGAAGCTACTACTCTAATATATTAGTCAACAACTATTGGCGACTGGAATAGTAATGCATGGCCAAAGTTAGAAGACAATACAGGGTAGTTTCGTAAATATATAGTTAAGGTACTTTTGGTGGTATGAACATGGAAGTTGGCATGCATGCAAGTTATCATCCCAGTACAATCGCAATTGGTTTGCTTTATACACCTGCACAATGGCAAGGTTGACTTTTGTTAAAATTTAATAGTAAATATATAGCATCAAGATTGCGACATACTAGACACACACACCTAACACCGCTCCATTGGATACGGTTCTACTTGTCTCAAACTTGCAACCACTTGTAGTGTATATTGCTCAAATACATAGTGTGTAATTTGATCATTTTCTTTATTCGGTCGGTCGTTGTTGTGTGCAGTTACAAATATTTTATCTGTGAGGAGACCGTACTTTCAAGTTCCTACAAGCCGAATTTGAAAACACCATCATATAGTCCATCATGCCATAGATTAAAGACTGCCACAGATTAATATTTGAATCCATACTTTTTAATCTATCATCATATTCACGCCAAGCAAGCATGTCTTTTCGTCGAAGGTAGCCGACAAGTTACGAGTTTACGACGGTGCCACAGATTAATATTTGAATCCATACTTTTTAATCTATCATCATATTCACGCCAAGCAAGCATGTCTTTTCTCTTTTCGTCGAAGGTAGCCGACAAGTTACGAGTTTACGACGGTGGCTTATTGGGACAAGTACAACCAGTATTACCAGTTCTACTTGTCCCAAACCGGTTGTATCTGTATTTGCTCAAATACATGTGTGCAATTCGACCACTTCCTTTGCTCGGTTGGTCGTTGTCGAGTGCAGTTATAACCATTTTATATCTTCAAAATGTTTAGGAACGAACTTTCCCTAAGTCTCATGTTAATAGTATATTTTGTGTTCAATATATAGACCACAGTAAGACTTTTTTTTAAATGTTTATTTCATTAACAAACGACGTTTCGGAGATTTACTCCATCTTCAGGTAGTAGGATTACACTTTGAATTTAAACTAACATGCGCATGCATAAACGTTAAATTGCGACCGTTATTCGCGCGTGCGAAATTGCGTAAGCATATAAAATAAGCATATAAATTTATATGCTTACGCAATTTCGCACGCGCGAATAACGGTCGCAATTTAACGTTTATGCATGCGCATGTTAGTTTAAATTCAAAGTGTAATCCTACTACCTGAAGATGGAGTAAATCTCCGAAACGTCGTTTGTTAATGAAATAAACATTTAAAAAAAGTCTTACTGTGGTCTATATATTGAACACAAAACATTTTATATCTGTGAAGAGACCATACTTTCAAGTTCCTAAGTTATTGCCCGAATTCGAAAACAGTTATTCAATTGGTGAATATTTGATGTTTTACACTATAATTGCTTTTTTAGTTGTTAGAAATGCATGCACAAATGTGCTAAACCACTCTGTTGTTATCCCTTTGTAAATTTTGTGAAGTGTAAAACGTTTGCCCCCAGCCTATAAACTCGATCGTGAAAAACTCAAAGAACCTCTGTTTACTCGTAAGTACCATTTTCTCATTATTTTGTTACTAAAAACAACAAAATGAAGGAACGTATCGGCGTATTATCACACTCAATTTTGTTATATTTGAATAAAATGTGTGGCCTTTAAATACACCATAAAATGTTTGCATAATTTCCAATCTCTACCAATCCTCGCATGTGTTTATGTTTTTTTGTTTACGCTCACCTTACGGCACCCAACAATCCATGTGTGCAAAAGCTCCTGAACACCGAGTCGTGCTGTCTTAATCTAAGTACAACAAGCGAAGATGATTTAGTAATGGAGCTTCTCAGGTTTGAAAGCACATATAAAGTTACATATGACAATATAGAAAACACCATTTTAGATATTGACATTGAGTAAGAACTTTGAACAGTTTTTAAACCATATATATATTCTTATTGTCATTTCCCTTTAACTTGCTGAACTCACTGTTTTCAGTCTTGCATGAAAAAATATGATTAAATTTTTGGTCAGTTTATAACTTCCGTCGTTTTAATATGTTTTAGCTTCAAATTTGCATATACAATTCTATCAATTACATACAACTTAGCACCGAAATTGACATTTTATTCACCAACGCATCAATTCTTATACTTTTAATACTTTCAATGTTTCAGTTTGGGATGTGGTTTTACAATTTTGTTCTCAAATTTTGCTTGCCAGTGCTCCATATGCCTTAATTGATCTATTGGAACATTAATGGAAGACATTTAAAGGCATTGCTTGTTAAAATATTCATGCTTCTAGCTTGTAAGTAAAAAACCCTATGTTGCCTATTTTAATAAAGTTGAAGTTAACTAGACACATGGGCAGATAGGCCAGTTAACCCATTAAGTGCCAGCGCTCTCCCCTTGACGAGTAAAATCATCTGGCATTAGACAGAGTAAAATACTCTGGTGTTAGACAGAGTAAAATACTAAAGTAGGGTGCATCAGGGTGCAATGCAACTCAATGGGTTAATCTATTACCACAAATGTAAAAGCTTTACTTGTTATGATATAAAAATGATATAGGTATGCACAATGCATACATTGTCTTAGTTGATGGGGTACTGCCATGCTGGTAATATGCTAAAGATCAGTGGTCGCATGCTGTACAGCTCACTGTAGCACCACTATATCACGATCCAAAATATAGTTAATGTGTGTGCCACAGCAAAGTTTCCGCCCCATGAATAATAATTTATGAGGTAATTGGCCAATCATGTTAGTTAATCTTAGTTACATAACAATATTGGATGCTTGGCAAGGTATGTATGTTGGCCCGGTCCTGACAAAAATAAATCCAGTTATGCTTGGACTAGACCAAAACTAATTCAGTCCAAAAACTGGATGCATTTGAATGTCATTCTAAATCCTTCAATGTAGACTGGACTAGATTTTTGGTTGCTGCAGTTTGATCTTTGCTTTGGACTGGATTAATCTGTGTGGATTTGAAATCTATTCCAGTCCTCATTGTTAGATTTGGAATATTATATGCATGAAGAATCGATAAATCGTAAACACATTGAAGTGGCTGAAAGCAAATGATGTCTGTCATGAACATAAACAAACTAAACTCCAAGACAGGATGTTTATTATTGTCTATATTTCTTAAAATGCCTACAATGCAATTACTAGATCTGAAATCTAATGGTTGATAGCAATAGTACAATAATATTGTGACTGTCACACAAGGTACATAACTTATAGCCAATGAGGAAGAGTTCCTTTTTTAAGTTTCTTTTACTGTCAGTTCATTGCTTCATTAAATTTCACTCTATAGAAAGTCCACTACAGTAAACAGTAACCCAGACCTTTTTGTCAAGAGCATGTCCAAGTCATTCATTCCTGAGATATTACTGGGAGTTCCTCTCAGTTTTCTGTTACAAATGTTCTTCAGAGTCTGGTTAGGGTCACCAACCTTTGTAAAATTGCTCCCGTCACATGGAGTTCGTAAAATACTTCTTTTATTCTTTCGAGTATATCATATACTTGATGGCATTTCAACAATTTCCCATTTCAAGGTTTCACCAAGGGCACTTGACTTTATGACAAAATACTTACTTCAAAAATCATTACCAGCCAGGAAATTGCTTTGTCTAACAATTTGTATCGACTTCTTTTGATACCGTATCTACTGTAAATACACAATTAGCAGCGTAGATCATAATTTCTTCATCACTGGGTTGCAACTATAGTTCTGATCACCATATTAACATTCAGTATTATCACCAGTGGCCTGTTATGTATGTCATGTACGTGTAGAAATCAATGAAATGTAGAAATGTACTGTAGGAACCAATACCATCCTCACTTCAAATATTACTTTCACCTGAAAGAACTATTAACTATTCAAACACTTGTTGTCGTGTTTTATCAGACATAAAACGCTCGGCTGCGCCTCACGTTTTGTATCTGATAAAACACTCCTACTCGTGTTTTAAATAGTACAAATAATTTTATTAGATTTTTATAGGATAAACTAACTGTACTTTTTTATGAAAGTGTAAGTAGTAAACTTACAAGGCTCTCCTGTATTGGAGGTTTTCAAATTAATAAAGAGTATCTACGTTGTGTTGTGTTGTGTTGTGTTACAGATAACAGCATTTGATATGACAGATGAATCATCTGACAGGTACGTTTTAATATAATACAGTTGTAAAAAGATGGTAGTTTGCTGAAAATGTGACGTGTGTCACGTGTGTCTATGTCGGGGCAACTGAATGCGTGGGTCATTCGTCCATTCGATTTTTTCATAAATTGAAAATTGAAAATTGCATTCAATTTTCAATTTTTAATTTTTCAATTCGTAAAAATATATAAAAATAAATTGCGGACCTTTATTTTCATGTTTCTATAGACGAAATTTGAAAGAAAAAATCACACTTTCGAAATTTCCTCTTTACTATGGTTATAGATGTTCACCATTTTTCAATTTATTCTATATACGGTGTTTGTACAAAATTAAAAATGCAATCAATTTTCAATTTTTGTTTTCGTTTGCACTCCGCTATTTCCGGTAGCAAAACTTGCTCAGGGGTAGAAGATGGGGATGCTTGTTCAAAGAAGAAATGGCGGGAATCTTCGATAAACAAACCTCGAAACAAACATGGACGAAGTTAATCTAGAGCACGTAAAAGATCTCGTTGTAAAGCAAAGAAAAACACACTCTGAAGTAAGCTTGATATTACAAGAAGCATTTCCAGGAAAAAGAGGGCTTAGTGAAAGATCAGTAAGAAGATTTTGCTGTGAGAATGACATACACTCACAACAACGCGTATCTAATCATGATTTGGAACAGTGTGCAAGGACAGTTGTCGCAAAGGTAAGAGACTACTAGGGCCTGTTTATATGATCTCGCCTAGTGTTTATATGGACAAAATACATTGCCGGTGTCCCAGGATTTTCTTTATTCCAAATGTTTGCCACTTTATAACTAGTCCTGGAGACAACACGGATGGCAACCTTGCAAGCCAGGGTCCTCTATGCAGATGGATGCATTGACTATCTGACTGGCATGTCACCAGACGAGCCCATACTCTCTTTTCATACAAACTGGTTAACATGCCAGTGTATAATTATGATGCTGCTAAGAAGCCTTATTGCCTTAAGGGACTAGGCTGTCTGAAGCAGCCCATTGTCACCCTGAAATACTGGTCATGAACTCTGAACCATGGTATTCTGTACTGTAGTGTACAAATGTATAACTGTGCAGTCAGGGGCATAACTTGAGGGGTGTATGGGGGGAGTTTTTGGCAGGGCAATTCTGCCAGACACCCCGCTAATTAAAAGGGACTAGTTTTGCCCCTGTGTGCAATAATTAAATAAATACTGAACTATGTCTTCACTATATCTAAAAGGTTATTTCTTCAGCAGTGATATTGGCAGTACAGTCTGCAAAATGGAATTTTATCTGTTCTCTAATTCTGAGTTCTCCACTCAACTTGCATTGATGCATTCATTTTGCTAACTTTTTGAATAAAAAGATTAAATCTACTGTTGCCAACAGTTGAGACTGAGGTATGCATGTTTTCTGGAATGAGCTGTTTTACCCTTTTATTTTAGGTTGGGCCAGCATGGGGCTGGAAAATGGTGAAGGGCTATATGAAGAGCATTGGCGTTACAGCCAGTGAAAAGTGCATTGGTAGAGCTTTGTCTGTAGTGTCTCCCATATATCAAGCCAAACGAAATGCCAATACAGCGAGACAAGTCAATCCAGTGCCTTATAATGCTGAGTATTTTGGTCACAAAATACATTTAGATCAAAATGAAAAATTGGCAATGTATGGGTTAACAGAGGTCTGTGCAGTTGATGGTTTCAGTGGTAAAATTGTAGCTTTTGCAACAATGCCAGTCAAAAATAATGTTCTCATTTATGAACATATTTACAGGTGAGCTTTCATCATTCACTATAAATTAATAAACATACATATATGTTATTTACCGGCTTCTGAGACAGAGGGAAAATATTTTTCAAGCACGGACTGACCTCAACGGTAAATAACGTATTTATTTTTTTGCTCAATGCTTAATTAAATTCCTAAAAACTCCAATGTTTATAATTCACTGCTTTTAATCCAAGCATGGCTGACATCTTGCTAAAAGGACATGATAAAAAGCATTTAATTTTGATGCAATATAGATGCTTTTCTACTTAATAAAAGGTAAAGTGATTAAAACTATTTATTTTTCTAATCATTTTAGCCTAATAACATGCTTCAAAAATGTTGTTTCGACACGCAACAAATTGTACTTGCCGAAAACATTGTGTTCATGACAACATTTATTAAAAATAAGACTGAAATAAGTCTAGAAATCATGTTTAAACTGCCGTTTTAAAGTTTGTTCTTTTTTAAATTTTATGTTTGAGGACAAGTCCTTCCTTCCAGTATTTATATTTTAACGTATATTTTTCGAAATATAGCTAAATATATACTGAGCTTTTGACATTAAACATTTGGCACTGATTTTTCGATACTTGTACGTCAAGAAAATACTTGTATTTTTTCGCATTTATGTCGAAAAAAGTACATTTCTGGCTTGACACTAAATCCATTGAGGTCTGTCCAGCTTATATTTCTATCTTTTATCGATAGGGAGGGCTTTTCAGCTTTTTGAATTGCTTTTTTTTTTAGTTTGAAAATTGTCTTCAGTCTCCACTTCGCCCGTATCGTCACAAAATAAGGTACACAGAAGGCCGACTTCTTTGTTTTTCCTATGATTTTCCCAGTGGATTTTCCTATGATTTAGCGTAATCCGTCATCAAATGCTGACGCCATGGTCCTAGCCAGTGCACGTTTGAGAGGCATTCACCCCCCTGATATTATTTAAAATGGCGGATGTCCAGGGGGGATGCCTCTCAAACGCGCACTGGCTAGGACTATGGCATCAGCATTTTGATGATGAATCATGGCGCGGCAGCGGTTACTCGAGTCAACCTTCTGCGTATCTTATTCTGTGGTGTCGTACCGAAACCAGTGAATTCCAATGTCTTTTATCTGGAATGATAACAAGCGAGAGAAACGTGAAGCCAATGCCAACGCCACTTGACGCGAGCTGATTCGTGATAGACCGCGCGGTGATGGCGTATAAGGGGAATGAAACTGACGTACTATATGGCGTGGCGATCAGAGTATAAAAAGACTGAAACTGACGTACTATATGGCGTGGCATTCTCGTACCCAGAGCCCTTCTTACGCGCGGTGCGACGTGGTCCCTCGAGAATGATGGCGTGGCATTTGACCGCGCTCGATGATGGCGTATAAGGGGATTGAAACTGACGTACTATATGGCATGGAGTGACGCCACTGCTCACGCGAGGCTTCACCACAGATGAAGTATATACTTACTTAATCTATGGCTTCACTGTTTATCTGCCAAATGACTGAATGTTATCATTCCAGGTAAATAGATTGAGTTCACTGACTGAGACGTACTGGTGAACATGCGCAGATTGAAAAGAGATTTATAAATCTACGTACTTCCGGGTGTATAGACCCATTGCACTGATGTCCCAAATCCTTAGAGTGTCCTCCAGATGCTCCCTAACAATACCTGTCCGGGTACAACCACTATACAATGCAAAAATTAACCATTTTAATAAAAATTGTTATAAAGTTTTACAAAATTTGCTTTTTTTACAAAAATTATATTATGCATAGATTGCTAATTTGTCCTCGCTAAGATGCCGGCGTCACCGGCGTTGTGACGTCATCTGCAATGGGTCTATTCGCGTATCAAAATAAAAAGTTCGTCACAAGTCAACTTTTTTGCGTACTACGGAAGTACTAACCAATCAACATTCACCAAATTTTGAAATTTAAAAACGTTTTTGATACGTTTCGGTACGGTACGCTTGAAGTGAAAAACCGGACCTATCAACCAATCAGAAGGCTCCGTTTACGTTATGGACCTGAAAAAATAAAGTGCAATATTATTCTTGTCCAATGTGTAAGATATGAAAATTAAGCAATGTACTTTTTGATAGAAATGTTGTTTTACAATATGGAATGTGGGACCAAATACGTGTGGATCATGGGACAGAATTTTATCTCACATTGCATGTGCAAAACAAGTTGCAAGAGTATAGAGGAAATACAAATAGATCACCTTTCATTCAGACCACATCAAAGCAGGTATATTAACATTCCTATGAGGCAAATTATCCTAATAATACTGTATATGCCTTAATAAAAACACGCGAATCAGTTGTGGCAAGGTTGGCGGAAAGCGCGTATTTCTCGGGGGGTAAGGCCGCCAGAAAAGTTGGGGAAACAAGATCAGATCTTTTTAAGAAATAGAAAACATTTTTTCCGTGTTTTCTATAGTTATAGAAACACGCGTGAAAGTTTGGGAGAAACGTGAAATTGCGTGGGAACACGAGCACGAAGTGCGAGTGTTTCCACGCAATTTCGAGTTTCTCCCAAACTTTCACAAGTGTTTCTATAAACTCTATAGGAACACGGAAAAAATGTTTTCCATTTCCTTTATTAAAGGTGATCTACAGTCCGTATGTAAACAAAGCCTTTGTTTACATTTTTGCGTCCAAAATATTGAGCTTTATTCGACAACTATTTATATTTTCAAGCTTCTAGAGTATAATAAATGATCAAGAAACAACAATCAGGCTTTGCAAGAACCCAAAACATAGTTAAACTGTTTGTATCATAAAAAGTGGGCTCCTTTGTGCACATACGCAGATCGGACTGTAGATCACCTTTAAATAGCCTTTTAAAAACAATAGAAAAGATAAATTTATTGATTTTAATTGCTTTCATTCAAATATTAATTCCACCTTAATACACGTTCGTGTAAAGAATAATTATAAAAGCATAGCGAAGTATTATGCTTCAGTTATTTGAAACCACGGACCCCCCACCCCCGGGACATAGCGGGGGATTAACAAAATTTAGTGGGGATTTAACGCTATTTAACAACGTGCTATGCCCCGGAGGGCGATGGAATTAAATAAATGTTTTTACTAATCGGGGAATTGAACCGGGATATAACAGCCGCTATATATGAATACACTGGGAAAAATAGACTTGCCCAAGTCCGCTCGCTAGGGACCGCGCGTAACAACAAGGGAGCGCTTGAGAAAGACGGAAGCGAGTGACTTGTGTCACTTGCCTGATTTTGAATCTTACTGAAAAAAATTGGCGCGAAAATCAATGATGACATAGTGGGCGTTCACCATGTCGATTTCACTAGTTCATTATTGTTTTGGCGTCGTTAGTACAGAATAATAATGAGCATTCACTGACGTCACCGGAGCAAAAATGGACCGGTGAATTTGGCGCGCTTGCGAGTGACAAAAGTCCGTCGCTTCCAGGAACCACGAACCGCGGACTTTGGAAAGTCTACGGGAAAAATGGCGCATATGCCAATTACTGAATTTATGTTGGCACGATGACGTCTACCGACACGTTTCCCTATTATTTCCGCTTTTGCCTATTCTCGGTTTTGAAAAAATCCCCTATTATTCTAAAAGAAATTCCAGCATAATGTGCATGTCCCTATGGCTGACGATTAAGTATAAAATATAAAGTTTCAAACGCACGTAACTGTTGAACAAGTTTTTCGCCAGTCCCCGGTCCACCCATAGGCTGGCGCCGGGGCGTGCATGTGTGTACCCGCTGTACCGTCTCTGAATACTTCGTGTATTTCGCTCAGAAACATTTTGCCCATCGTTTTCAGAACTCAGTTTTTCTTTCGCTTCCTAAAAAACTCACAGCAAGCTGAGGTAGACTTGGTGACTAATCTGTAGGGCCATGTATAATTGATAGCTATTTACAGTATTTAATTAAACACTGACCTCGAATATTTGACGGAAATTCAATCTGGAAGACTGGTAACTCAAATGCATGCATGATGCGGAATTTGTCTTGTATTTATAATTTAGGTACACTGAAGCCCGGCTGTACGGGGGTTTTAACAGAACAGTTTGCCCAAGGGGCAGGGGGAATTAATGTTTTTTAACACTTGGTCAGTTAACAATTCCCCGCTATGTCCCGGGCATATTAAAATATACCTAAACATTTATGGCATAAACAATTATGTTACATACAGTAACATAAGTCAACTGTTATTATTTATTGCAGCATCTTCCTGTTGAGAGAAAATGGGTAGAGTTTAACACTCGTGTAAACTACCCAATCAAAAGTGTCCTGAATACAATGGCCAATGATGAGCTCATCAATATGGATGATGACATTACCAAGTTTTGTGTATCATGGTTTGTGTCCAGGGTTGCAGATACGGGAATAAAACAAGTTATTGATGGTTGGAACAATCATCCTATTCCAGGTAAAGAAATATTTCCAGAAACAGTGATTAATATTATATATAATATATTTTGGTGGGCAATTTTGATCAGTGTGCTCCATCAAATTAATCTAAAAAGAAGCAGGCTTTGCTTTTAAAAGTTATTTGTTTCTCTTTCGAAATAGGAAAGGGAATTCCAAACGAAAGAATGCAAGCAAATAACAAAGCATGCCTGCTACCCACACAAGATTTATTACCGAGTAAGGAACAAGCTGTTGCCTTATATGAAAGTGAAGGAGGAAATATTACCCTTCCAGAATTGTTTGGGGTTGATCCCATTTACGAAAACCCACAGTTGAAGAAATTGCGTTTTGATTCGTTTGTTGCTGCTTATCCTAATTTCAGTACAATCTTTCATGGTGTAGTGAATGGAGAGAGCTACCTTTTCAAAGAAGGCCTTCAGTATTTTATATCTTTGACAACAAATCAACATTAATACACCTTATTGTAACACAGTAACTAACAAACTAAATGAAATATGTAACTTACGTACAGTTTCAACAGTTTTAAACACTGTAGTATTGTTCAAGTAAATTATTTGGTAACAAAGTTCAACTCAATTGGATATTCTTTTCTTTCAGCACACTGAAAGATTTCTCTGACTGCATGTTCTTATTCCAAACCCAACCAAACATGACAGCAACTATTAACATGGAAACTGTAAAGTTCTGCATAATTAATCCACATTATACATATAGAAAACATATCTAGAACATTTTAAATATATTATTCAACATGATTTTCTGGCATGTCGACATCTGCACCCTTGATCATATTTCCTACACCAGCCAAGAACTCGTCAAGACCCTTAAACTGGTATGTTGATGCATACCCTCGTGGCTCGTTACAATATGGACATTTCTTACTTAAACTGTCAGTTCCATTGTACCACCTGTTAACACAGACCTCACACCCAAGTAGGGTACTGCAACATTTTGTTGCTATAACTGGTGGCTTTATAGGTGTTACATGGCAAATTTTACACATGAATGCATCACGAACAAGCTTCACAACCCCTACCGGCAAAGAAACCTCCTGGTTAACTTGAAGTATGTCATTTATCATTCCTTTCATTTCATCTAATTGTGACTTCAGTTGTTGAAAATCCATGCTGGTGACTAATTTTGCTTTCTTACTCGTGGATACAAATTCATCATCACTATCATCTGAAACATCATAATGGGAAATAATCTTCTCTTTTGATTTATTCAATCTTTTTGTACTTCTGGGATTTGTCTTCACAGCATATATTTTTCTACTTGGCCATTTCCAAAAGCTCAAACCTGAAACAACATTTAATTCTTAGGACCAAAAAGTTTAAAATTTGTTATTTAGTTTGTTTATGTATCAAGACTATTTTTCTAGTAACCCTTCCTTCTTCAAGTCAAAAATCAACATAACCCCTCCTTTTGCAACTTTCAAAATTTTGTAACCCCTCCTCAAAATCATCCATCCCTAACACCCATAAATAATGACCACTCCCTTACTCAAGGAGAGGAATATTTAGTATTGGAAGATAATGGGTAAAAATGGATATAAAGCATCAAATGAATAATTAATACTGACCTCTTGTTCCTTCATTGTCTATGATTTTTAGGCCATTGTTGGTGACCAAATCAAGTGTTTCATCATGGAATGATTCTCTTGCCTTTGTTGTTAGAAAATTGACATTTGCATTTTCTTCATTTACATTTATGTACGTTTGACCTATCTCTTGAAAGGTTGGATTGCTTTTTTCATTTCTTAATGACATCTGAGCATGGATTATCTTAACTATCACAGCATTTTTCCGTCTGCCACCACCAAACAGAGGTGTGTTACCAGGTGTAGACTTGGTCAAATTTGGAGTAGTGCTATATGAGAAGGATTGGACAGAATGCTGCTCTTGGCTAGGTGTGTTGACCATGTCATCTCCCATCACCTCAACCAATGTACCATCATCCAGATGAGCAGTGTTAAAGCGACCGGCTTCATTCGGCCAAAAGGACAAGTCTCCAAATTCTTCCTTTATGTATAAGGAATTTGCTTCAACCTGAAAATTAATATTACAGTGAAAATACAAAAAGTGTGCCACTTCCGCTTCTGTAGTTCGTTGTGATTTACTGTAATTTGTTCTGTTTTTCTGTAGCAATTACCGATTTTTCGGCAAATGCAGTGATAAAATTTAAATTTTGTACCTTTTATGCAATGAAACTAATGAAAAATGTATTATGATTTTTTTCTGTGTTGGTGTAATGTACTCTGGTGAATATGATGCTTGTGATGTTACCCTAGCTAGCTGAGTCATGTATATCCACACCGGGCCAGCTTGAAAAATATGCCTGTCCACGGTGGGAATCGAACCTACAACCTTTGGTGGGAATCAAACCTACGACCTTCGTAGGCTTGATTCCCACCATGGACAGGCATATTTTTCAAGCTTGCCCGGTGTGGATATACACTCAGAGTAACATCACAAGCATCAAAAAATGTTTTAGTCCCCTTTGCTACGAATTATCATATTTAAAAATAGAGAAAACTAAGTTTTATCACGGTATTTGCCGATAAAATCACAACAAACTACAGAAGTGGAAGTGGGACACTTTTTGTATTTTTACTGTAATGCATCAGTCAATTCCAGCTGCGACCATCCCCCCCCCGAGACAGTGTGGGGCATTTGTACGCTTACTTGCCCCCACGGCCGGGCATTTGCAGCTGCGTTTTCACCTGGGGGCCGGGCATTTGTCAATATCGGGGTTATTTCCCCGGGCATTTGTAGCTCACAGAGAAAAGACTGCGGCCACAAGTTTCCTTTGTTGTATGCCAAAATGGACGACTATTAAATATGTTAAACAAATTTTATATTATATTATTGTTGAATGTTGGTTTTGAAGTGCGAATGAATGTTTAAGATTTTCCTTCAGTCCATATTATATATATTGTGTTTACAATGAAAAACTTTCTGCACTGAAAAGCACAGCCTTTCATCGATGTTTTCATATGAAATGAACATGATAGTTTTCCTTGTTTGTTTTTTTGTAAATTCCCAAAAAGAACAATTAACAGAGGTATAAATACAAATTGTTGAAACACATGTAATTTAGTACATTCTTTGAAATTGACTAATTTGTCGGCCCAGGGGTGGGGCATTTGTTTTGTTTTTCGTCCCAAGGGTGGGGCATTGTTACTTTTTGTGGGCCCTACCCCCGGGCATTTGCACGAAAAAATGAAAATTTACCAATGCCTGGGGGGAGGATGGTCACAGCTGGAAATGACTGATATATATTGTAAACAATACGTTTATAAAAATAGAGTGTAATATTATACAGCCAACATTTTCATAATTATATATGTAACATTCAAATATATATTTTTGGTGTCTGAAATAATTTTTGTATAGTGCACATCAGTAAATTTACCAGGGGGTTGGGGAGGGGTGCAATATACACCATAATTTATAGTGTTTTAGGCCTGTTTCATACACCCTACTTCACATGTGCCGAATACATTAATTAAACACAATACATAAACCCTTACTATATAAAAACATGAACTCAGACCTGCCAACTCTCACGGATTTCCCATGTGACTCACAAATTCAGGCATTATCTCACGGAAGTATTTTCAAATCTCACAGATTCAAGATTTTGAAATTTTAAGCACCAATTTTGAGGTGAAATAAAACTAGCCTGATTGGCGGTAATTCTAATTTGTAAAAAATCTCCAACACTATATTGGTATTTATTTACTCATTTAATACCAAGTAGTACTAAGTGCTTCGCCATTTTGAATAACCTAAGTGGTATGCTGCATCAGTATCGCCAGTGCACAGCGGAAAATTTGCTGCAAGAAAATGGCGGAAGCAGATCGAAACTTCTCAAATTGGCCAATGGGCTATTCCTGTTTTATATTCACATCATCCCACATTGAGGAACTTGATTTTTAC